CCCCCCCGCGGGAATAGGGTTAAAAAGTTATAAATATGTATCAATGATGTACTTTTAAATATTAAAATTTTACAAAGATTGCATGCAATTTAAGATTTCCAAGGAAAGAAACACAAAATATAAAACCATTGTGCATAGTGTTCCAATTAATGCAACTTTCAAAGCAACATGAAAGATTTATTGTTTGAGGCAGAAAACCAAAAACAACTCTGAATTGTTGTGCAAATTGTATCAGCGAATTGATTAAGTAAAATGTAAACTAAATCTAAAATTCTTCAATTTGATAAACTTGGGGGTAAACGTCTGTGCTTAAAAAAATCAGCTGTTCTAGATCCTAAAGAAGTCGCCCTTTCCTTCTAACAAAAGACACGTTTTAAGACATTTTTCCTTAAAACATTTTAACATCTCGTTGTCTAGGCCCTTTCTGCACTGAGCATCAAGGAAAGCTGTGCTATGCTCCCAGTAATGAACAACTACTCAGGACATTATACTAACCAAAACAATAACAGGTGACAACTACATCTATCGGATATTTTAATAACTAACCAATAACAGGTTACAACTACACCTAGCGGACACTATCTACTAACTAAACAATAACAGGCAACAACTACACCTAGCGGATACTATACTAAACAAAACAATAACAGGTAACAACTACACCTTGCGGATAATATACTAAACTAAACAATAACAGGTAACAACTACACCTAGCTAATACTATATACTAACTAAACAATAACAGCAATAACAGGTAACAACTACACCTAGATAATACTATATACTATCTAAACAATAACAGGTAATAATTACACCTTGCGGATACTAAACAATAACATCACAGAAACACTTGAGATTGAATTAACAAAATTAAAACCTTTAAACCTTTATGTGAATGCGTCCTTTTCTTCGTTAATTTGTTGAGTTTTTAATTTCTTTTGAATTTGAAAGAATCACAGAGTGATAAATAATATTTATGTTTGTTTAGACCGTATCAGCCTAGTTCCCCTGGACCCCTTGAAAGACTGTATGGTGGGGAGAATGGGTATATGAACGCTAATTCTCCACAACCTAATGGATTTCAGGCTTTAGCTATGAACAGGGTAAACTCTTTTTATAATTATCAAAATAGATATTTTTGTTTTAATGACGAAATTAACACTGTAAATTTTACAGACACTTTATATAAGCGTTGTTTTGAAATAAATAAGTTTCTAAAAAGAATTTTTCTCTTATATCTCAAATATCTAATAATTCTAATAGCTCATTATATAATACCTCTAATATTTCAAATATGAGATGGGCTCATTAGTTTATTTTTTCTTATTCATTTCTTTATCGTTCGTTAACGAGTCTTATACTAATTGTACATTCAATAAAAACATCGTTTTTTCCAAATGAGTTAAAACAACCGATTTAGAATTTTTTTGTGAATTTCTGATACATAAAATAAAAACTATTTTTAAAGATTTTAAATTGTTGATTTTTGTTTTTCTCGTTGACGAAAACGATGCATATCTCTACCAATTATACAAATACACCAATTATAAAAATGGAACTGTTGAAAAATATTAAAAAATGAAATTAAAATTAATTTTTAGGGCCCCCTCATCACGGCAGCATTTGCCAATGGGTATCATTAAACCGAAACATTAGGAATAAAATTTGGAGGATTTGTTGATCTGAGAAGTGAACCAAACCAAACTTGGTAAAATTCGAGAATTTTCTCAATTTATTCAGATTCTCGTCATTGATTGATTAAACGAGAACTCAGTTACGTAGTTAAAGAAGTAGAGTATATGTAGACAACTAGAAACTAAATTAAAAAAGAATTCCGTCAAAATTCATTTTTATTTTAGTTCCTTATAATCGTTGATGATATTTTTAAACATTGTCGCCAATTTACCTAAAGACAGCTACCACAAAAACTTGAATTTAGGAATAGATTAGAAAAACTGATTTTTTAACAATTTTTATGAAACTGAATTTTTTTACATCTTCAAATAAAGTGTCTTTTTAGAGAACCATAGTGGGCAACAATATAGCATAAAGCCTATATAGAGGAAACAAACAATTCGAAACCTTGAAAATTGATAATTTAAAAACTAGTGGTAGTCTGTCATATCTTTTATAAAGATGCTGTGAACAAAATAATAAAATTTTATATTTAACATGTATTAATGTGTAGGTTATTCTTGGTATTGGATTCATTTGTTATTTTAAGGGGCTGTTCACTTATTTGAAAATTATACTAAATTACGCACATTTTTTTTTGAAAAAACTTATTGCGCTTTATGCGCAAATAATGCGCAAAAGCGATAACTTTGAGCCAAAAATATGGTCATTTCGTGGAAATCCTAATCAAAACTGTGTAAAACCTGACCTTTTGTTAGCTCAAGCGTTTGTAAAGACCGCGTCTTTGGTTGGATTCTGATTGGGTTTTATTCGACCAATGAGAGATGATTTCAAAGCTTTACGTCTGCTTAATCAGCTGAAAGATCCATATTTGCTCAGTGTAAATTTAAAAAAAATCCAAATTTCATGTATATTTATTATTTCTTTGGTGTTTACTTCACAAATTTAGCCAATTTTGAAACTAAAAATAATTTGCAAAGCATTTAAATGTAAAAATATGAAAGTTTTAGCAAAATTTCAAGATCCAGCTCCAATTCAGAACAAGCCTAGATTAGTTATAATTAAAACCATGTCTAGCTAAAACTTGAGTCTTCGCTTGGTCTTTAATTGGGCGTAAAAAGACGCGAAGGCCTGGTTTAAGCTTTTACCATCTCAGCTCAGGACTCTGGTTTTGACACTCAAGAAACCATTTTAAAAAGTATGTTTAGTAAATAAGTAAACAGTTCCTTTCAATGAAAAACTAAATATTGTGTGTAACCAAGTCAAGATTAAGCCACAGAAAAAGTGGCTGAACATGAAGCAATAATAATAATTATAGAGATTTTAACTTAAAGATAGAAATCTTGCAACCATGAAAGATTGATCTCCATCAATAATAAAATTTTGCATTTAAATCACCTGATTTGTATAGAGATCCTTCAGCAAAGGGAAATAAATTTACAAAATTAAATGTTAGAAATTTACAAAATTAAATTTACAAAAACCAATGCGCAGTTGGTTTCTCTTAATTAACCAAAGATCTGTTGTTAATGTCTAATCACCAAAGCTGTATTTTATCATGCTATTTTCGTTTTGAAAGGTTTAAAGGGACATAAACCGATTTTCTGGTTAGATTGATTGTATGTTGCTAAGCCCTTTCCAAATTTTGTGTTATTATTTTTAACTTATTTTGATTTTATTTTTAGTCCAGAAATACAAAACACACACTTGTTAAATTGCATTTTATGAATTGAATAAACACGAAAAATAACATATCCATTAAAGAAATAGAAAAGATTGCTCTTTAACTGAAAATAAAACAAATTGTTGATGATGAAATCCCCGAAGAAGGATTATAAAATCCGCAATTCAGTAGCGTCAATTCTAGAACCAGAGAAGACCTACTCATCATACATGTTACCACTTTAAAAAGTACATTTGATGCTTCTAGGTATGATGATATGAGTAGGTCTTGTCTGGTTCCAGAAACTGACGCTACTCATTTGAGAATTTTTTAATCCTCTTTCGGAGATGTTATCCTCTACAACATAAAATATAAAATTGTGTTTTCAGTATTATTTTTATCCAGAAGTATCCTTACAGTAAAAAATGTGTTCTTAAAAAATGTGCAAAATTATTTGTGCAACCCATGTGATGCAAAGAAAGAAGAAATTTTAAAGATTTAAAACTGTTAAGAGGAAAAAGTCAACATATTTTTTCTCAATTTATGATGAATTAACAAATTTAAAAGTTTTGAAATTTTTAAAATTTCTTCTTGTTCTTAATTATCTATAAAGTAGTAAAAATGTAGAAAAAAAGCAAGATTTCAAAATTTAGTTTCAAAATTTTGAATCTTTTTTTTGTTATTTAAAGTTGCGTTCTCACACGAGAATTTAAATGTTAAAAAATGAATAAATTTGAATATTTAAACAATTTTTTCAAAAGATACAATACATTGCGCTACACAAAACTGTAAGTTACAGGAAAGAAAAGAAAGATTGATATTTAGATAGTGGATGCAGGGTTACCAGATTGATATTTAGATAGTGGATGCAGGGTTACCAGATTGATATTTTGATAGTGGATGCAGGGTTACCGGATTGATATTTGGATAGTGGATGTAGGGTTACCAGATTGATATTTGGATAGTGGATGCAGGGTTACCAGATTGATATTTGGATATTGAATGCAGGGTTACCAGATTGATATTCAGATAGTGGAAAAACAGATGTGTTAAGCTTTTAATCCTCAACAGGCTGTTGGTAAAAATTCAGGTCTGTGTATAAAAAAATCTAAAATAGCCAATAACTTTTTTATGACCAAAGTTACAGATCTAAAAACTATATTTTTGAAAAGCCGTTGAAAAATAGATGTAGAAACAACATGATACACAGTTTGATATTTGTTTAAAACAAAAAAAATATTTTTTAAAAATTGGGCTATGAACATGAACCCTATACCTCTTCTCTAAGGCCTTCTTCTTGGGGGGGGGGGTACACCCCCCCAGTCAATACATGATTTAGACCCCAAGCCTTTCTAGGGTTAATATATAAGTTGGAAACATAGGCTTGCTTTCAAAGTATATTCACAATAAGGGCTAAATTGACACCTCCACCCCAGAAGGAACAGGGTTAAACATCATGTACCATACCAAGGATGACTAAGGTCAATTTAAATTCGAGCCGGACCGACCCCCTTGTACCAGCCTTTTTGACGTGCAGCAAGTACGGGCCCGACCCTATCCTATGAATGCTCGGTTTCAACTTTGATGGCGCGGCCAGACTGTCTACAGTAGTTTTTTTTACATAACTCAAAAAGTATTGGTCTGAGGCTGTTGAAATTTTTTGACTTTTCCTACATACCCAAAGCCCTCCCTTTAGGCCTAAAACCGGGCTTTAATACTAACTGCCTGAGTCCTCAGGCACAATGCCTGAATGACTGCTTTTTCCTGTAACAAACTAAATCTTTGTTTTGACCCACTTTCACTTGTCAGATTTTTATAAAATTTAGCTTTTTGGAAAGCCTTATTTCTTTATTTAAAATTTTGCAAAAATGTTTGCATATTTGAAATGGCATGGTCAAGGGCTTTTCAAAAATGTATAATTTTTCGTTTTTAGGACAAATTTTTTTTTGCAAACATTTTTACTATATAACTGGATTTTGCGATAAAAAATTAAATTTTTGCATATTTGCAATTTTTTTTGCAGATTCTAAAAGTAGAGCACAAGAGCTTTCCAATGATGTATCATTTGTCATATTTGGACATAAAACATGGGATTTAGAGGGGGGAGTCAAATTAACCCCCCCCCCCAGCATATCCTGGTTTTCAAGTACCCCAGCAGAGATAGGGTTACAGGCTTATTTGATCTATCCCACTTGCTGTAAGTTTAACGTAATGTTGATATGATTTACATTTATATCTTCCACAATCTAGTGACAAGCGTTAATTTTCCAAAATTTCAAATAAAACTCAAATCTTTTTTTTGTTAAAATTTCTATATTTTTTTCTGAAAAACTTTAAAGAAGATATTGTGTATAAACATTGAAGGTTTAGAGATACTAGCAAATGAATAATAAATGTAACACAAACGAACAAAATTCAGATATAAATATACATATAAACAAAAATACAGATATGTAAATAGATAAATAAATAAATAGATAAATAAAAATATCGATAGATATAAATAATACAGATAGAGAGAGAGAGAGATATACAGAATACAGATAGATATAGAGATATACAGAATACAGATAGATAGATAGATATACAGAAAATAGATAGATATTTAGATAGAGAGATATACATAATACTGATAGATATATAGATATACATAATACAGATAGATAGAAAGATATACAGAATATAGATAGATAGATAGATAAACAGAATACTGATAGAAAGATAGATAAACAGAATACAGATAGATAGATAGATATTCAGAATACAGATAGGTATAGAGACATACAGAACATAGATAGATAGATAGATGTACAGAATACAGATAGATAGGTAGATATACAGAATACAGATAGATAGATAGATAGAAAACTCTGAGTTGAAAATGCTTGGGAAAGATTAAAGTCGTGATGTATCAATACCACGCACCTCTGACCCTTTAGTAAAAGTAAATTCAACCTAGAATCTGACTGCGTCAACCTTGTTCCATTGGCTGGTCCTATTGAGTGTCTGCTTTATTTACCCAATGTCTGGGCGATACATTACAAACTGGGACCAGAAAGATTGACCCAGCTGGGAAATTCAAATGTTCTAATGCTGCCCGTGATATTACCTTTACTACGCTTCTACATTTTTCTCATCTATTTTCTTTTTCGTTTAATTCTCTCTTTTTTCCTCATGTTAGCTTTCCTGTTTCACTTTCCTCTCAATCATAGCTTTCCTTCGCTTTACACTTGTTTTCTTTTTTTGGACCGTTTTCTTTTTTCCTTTTTTCTTTCTTTTTTCCTTATGTTAGCTTTCAGGTTTAGAATATATTCCTGATCTATTTCTACAGAATATCTCTGTTCCCTTTAATTAAAACTTTTTTTCCAAAAGTTGTGACAATTATAAACTTTTTCTTTTTTTCAGGGAATAGCTAAATAGCTCTGGAGTTTTAGAACGGTTGAACAGGAAAAGGGGAGAGATTTAGTAGACAGAAAAATCGGGCTTTTTAATAGAATATAATGGATAGTTGCAGTAAAGTAAGTCGAGTTAAACAACTAATTTTATTTTAATTTGATGGTACACACAATATTAGAATAAGTTGGTTTTTCTGAGCTTCTATACAAGTCTGTTTTTTTCTGAACTTCTATACAAGTCTGTTTTCCTGAACTTCAAGTCTGTTTTTCTGAACTTCTATACAATTCTGTGTTTCTGAACTTCTATACAAGTCTGTTTTTCTGAACTTCAAGTCTGTTTTTCTTAACTTCTATACAAGTCTGTTTGTGTGAAATTCTAAAGAAGTCTGTTTTTCTGAACTTCTATACAAGTCCGTTTTCCTGAACTTCTAAACTAGGGTTTCCACGAAATGGCTAAATCTTTTGCGCAAAATTTGCGCAATTTTCGCGCAAATTTTATTTTTGCGAACTTTTGCGCTATTTTTGCGCATGAAACGCAATGAGTTTTGCGCGGTTTTGCGCTATTTATTTTGCGCAATTTGCGCAAAACCGGAATTATTTTTTGAGAAAGTTGCGCATGACACGAAATTTTAGTTTTGCGCAATTTTTTTTTGCGCAATTTGCGCAAAACTGCAAGTTTTTGCGCAAAACCGCAAGTTTTACGCAAAATGTAACTTTTTAGACACATTGTCAAAAACTGATATTCTAAGCTTAGAATTAAACAACTGAAGATTTATTCCATATACAAAAAAAAATATTAACATACGAGTAGGATAACGATTATACTACACTCAATTGGTTACTTCCAGTTACAAAAAAGTTTAAATTAAGGGACCAAAATTAATAAAATAGAAATTAGAGAGTGTGAAACTTGGCAATATTTTAATTCTATTAAATAATTTCAAGTGACCCGGCCTTTAAAGCTTTGCTTAATCAAGTATTTCATAGGCTTTGCAAAAAGCTAAAAATTATTAAAAAAGAGAGAGAAGTTTAAATTGACCCCCCCCCCATTCCCTAGGAGAAATAGGGTTAATATTGCATTTAACGGCGGGTCGGTGTTTCAAAAAAACAGGGGAATAATTATCTTAATTAATCAGCTCAGTTTTGTATACTGTAGACTACAGTAAAGTTCTGCAGTAATCGCTACGTTTAAGATGTTTGATAATGTCCAGCTGTTTAGGGTTAAAACTGGTCAATTACCGATCTCCTTAACCTTCTTATTTAATGTTTTTGAGTTGACAATTTCCGGGTTAAATTACTACTTAATTATTTTTTAGATGTTTTAGGAATTTTATTAATCATTTAGTCTGAATTTCTGAAGAAGTCTTTTAGTCCAAACTTCTATATAAGTCTGTTAGTCTAAACTTCTATATAAGTCTGTTTGTATAAACTTCTATAGAAGAATGTTAGTCTAAACTTCTATATAAGTCTGTTTGTATAAACTTCTATAGAAGTCTGTTAGTCTAAACTTCTATAGAAGTCTGTTTGTCTAAACTTCTATAGAAGTATGTTTGTATAAACTTCTATAGAAGTCTGTTAGTCTAAAGTTCTATAGAAATCTGTTAGTCTAAACTTCTATAGAAGTCTGTTAGTCTAAATTTCTATAGAAGTCTATTTGTCTAAACTTCAGGCTAAATCTCCAAATATATGTCATCCACACTTCATCTTCACTTTAAATTCCGTTCTCCATAGTTTTAATAAACTCTGTTACTGGGAGATATAGAAAGATATAAAGATAGATAGATAGATAGATGGATAGATAGAGAGATTGATAGATTGATGGATAGAAGAATAGATATATAGATAGAAGAATATATAGATAGAAGAATATATAGATAAATAGATAGATAGAAAGATAGATAGATAGATAGATATATAGATAGATAGATAGATAGATAGATAGATAGATAGATAGATATATAGATAGATAGATAGATAGATAGATAGATATATAGATTTATATATAGATACATATACAGATATAAGATGAAAAGTTTGTAGGTTGGACACAACCATCCAATGGACGAAATATATTGATAGTTTCTATTTAGTAAAATTGAAAATATTCGATGAACACATACAACTATATAAAAGATAAATCCAACTTTTTTCG